TCGGCGAGATATTAATTCTGATGACGGTGCGGTGTGCACGATGTGGCTACGGTCGTGTCGGGGGGGGGGGGGGGGGGGGGGGGGGGGGGGGGGGGGGGGGGGGGGGGGAGGTGATCATCCATCTGGTTGTGACATGGAAATGCGTTTGCCTTGAAAGGCTTTTCCCTTTTTGACGATAGTGTGTCCTTTGCTTATATTGGTGTGCGCAGAATTGCGTTCCTTCATCTGTTCTTTCGTTGTTGTGTTCGAGGGAAATCGGATTGCACGTGTTTGCAACGGTGCACCACAATTGTTTTGTCCGTGGTTCGGAAGACTGTCTATCACTTTGTCTGCATCGACCTTTGTCATTTCCATTTTTTGCATTGTAATCCCCGCTCACATTATAATCAATTCCTGGAATGATGGAATGGAAGACTAATGCATGGATTGGATGTTCGATAACTAGAAAGATGAAAACATAGTTGGATGCATCACTTTCTCGCCATCAACATTCGACATTGAGTGATTGGGAAAGGCAGTGCCGCCTGAAGACAGTGTCGTTCCAACTTCTCCACAAACGGAAGGTGTCGTCTTCGGTCACGAACGGCAGTGCGCCATTGGGAGAGAGTGCCGCCTGAAATATTCGTATTTGCCGACCGTTGGGCGAATTCCTGCGGCGTGCCAAGCGCGACGATGCGAGACGGCACCTTCTGGACGTCGGGGATGCCGGTAGGCCGCAGACAGTAACCGTTGGTGATGAATCCCGTGACGCCGAACGTTGGCGACCCAACATGTCCGTGGAGACGCACGCAGGACCACCGACGGACCTGACGGGTTAAAAAAATGTCGTCGAGGGACCTGCCGTCAACGCCCCGATTCTTCCGGAAGCTCGACCTCCAAGGGACCTCGGGAGGTCCCTTGGGGAAATCGTCAAAATGGCTGTAGCCCCGAGGAATCCCCGAGGAAATGTTTTCACATTTTTTTTTTCCGAATCTTCCCCAAGGATGAGTGGAATGACGAATTCCTTGGGGAATTTTGGGCCCCGAGGAGTGTCGAATGAGCCCCATATTGTGGCAAGTAAGTGCAACCAGGCCTCCAGTTCGACACGATTCTCATTTTTTTAACTCTGCACCCATGCGCCACGAATTGTGGTGGATGGCAAGTAGTGCAACTACTAGGCCCTGCTAGGCCCTGCGAGGATCTCCACACAGGCTGTCGAAAACCAATTTTGCATCGCCACACAGACTTTCGAAGAATTGCGGCACGAAAGAATTTCGACATGTGTCAGAATAGTACGCTCAACAGCCACCCTCCCCCATTCGTTTCCTCCTCCAGGTGATGGAAATTCGAAAAAAAAAAAAAAAAAAGAATTGCGTTCGAATTTGCATTGTCAGGGACTGTTCCATGATACCCGTGCCCTCTGTGGAAAGGCGGAGTCCATTTGGCCATGACCAAAAACCTTGCCCCTCGACAGCTTGTGTGGCTAAGGCCGACTTTCATTTTTTTTCTGATAGCTGTGTGGCGAGCCTTTGAGGGCGTTGCCGCATGACACACGAAACGAAAAACGAAACGAATGAATTTTCCCATAGAAATGGTCAGGTTCATCGGTTTGCTATATGTATTTTGCCACCTTTGTTGGGCAGATGCACTCGTTTCGTTTTCGTTTCGTGTGCCGTGCGGCGAGACCCTGAGTCTATAGAGTGCCTCGCTCCAAGACTCTTGGCATGCACAAAAGACGAAAGTCATTGTCAATCTTTGTTATCCAAACCAGTTTTGCAGACGGTACTATCCATGACTTGAGGCCATACCTGAAGAAGGGGAAGGAGGCTTATGAGCATTTTCATCTGGTCTGGATCTCAGCCACCAAATACCTCGAGCAGAGAGAGAGGGAGCTCGATGAGGGTGGCACTACGTTGATCCGTAGTTTTGGGCCAAAGCTTTATACTGACTATCCCAGGCCTCTTGTCCCTTCCCTCCTCACAGATGGCATGAGTTGGCTTGATATGGTCGACTTGGAAAAAAGGTATCTCTCTCCAGCAGTGATCGACATTGAGGCACTGACTGAACCCACCAAGTATCCCTACCTCAGTCGAGGGATCTTTTCAGTAGACGGATTGCCTATGTTGTGGGAGGAGTTTTGCTCCATGGTTAACTTTCGTGTCATGTACCTTGGATGGTCATGTTCAGAGCTTGCTGGCTTCAGGTGGCTCTTTGTCACGAGGCCTCAATCTCAGATTGTACGTGGGCGTGGGTCACAGCATCAAAGAAAAACAGCGAAACGAGAGATTGAGAGAGACTAACCAGAGGGATGAGTAAGGACTCTTGAGAGGTGTTAACCATGCTTGTTTATATGTACTTTCTGAGATTATTACGAGTTCTCATTCTTCCCTTATTCAGTTACTATTGTCGTTGCTTGAGTCAGTCGGTCTTGCTTCTTGCATTAATCTTGCTTGATGATTGCTTTCGTGGATGATTATGTCGCAGTTCTCAAAATCAGATTGACATAATTGATGCATGCATAACACCCCATAATTTTATGATTATTATTTGTATAATTCTCTGCTATTCCGAATCAAAATAAAAGATTCCTAAGACCGGGGACCGGCGAAGACCGCAATTGAAGGGTCTCGCTCGAAGCCGGACGCACACAACAGGAAGGGATTTGCATTACTTAATTTATTTTACTTATTGCGATCACATCCAAAATCCTGCGTGACAGCCTGTTGGCTTTCCGGTCGCCCGAAGTGGACCGACTGGAAAAAGTGTGACACCGCGAGAGACACGCCATGCACTTCTCGCCACAATGATGCTATCACGGGTCCACTACTATGCCACAAAACGGAAGATGACTCCCTGAAGGACAGCGACGTGGATTGCACCTAGATGATGCACACTGCGCCTGACGACAACAATACAGCATATCCCGACGGCAGCAGACTTGAGGGCATCATCATCGTCAAGACACGGCACCGCCAGTAGATGTGGGAAGCGGACCTCCCCTTCCTTTCCGCCACAGGATCTCTTCGGTGCTTCCCTGCTTCACAGAGCTTCGTTCTTCCGCCTCATTACGGTCATAGCGGGGTCTCCACCTGCACGCACGACCATCCTCACTGCGCACTCATCCGCTCCACCAGCCTACGTGGCACCATCGGTCGCGGATCCTGCGGCCTGATCCGCGACCAACCTCCTAGGCCGCAGGCCCGCGGCCGAGGCCGCGTGGCCGAGTCTGCCCGTGGCCGAGCCACGCCCAGGCGGGGGCGC